AACGCGCCGCTGCAATGCGGCCAATCGTACCCTGCTTTAAACTCTCAAAATTCATTCAAAAATCAAATAGAAGATCTTTGCGTTTTAATCACATCTTTGCGTGATTATACTCTAACATTTAAATGAAATATAATCAAATATAAATCGACAGTTGGCGAACGGCAGACCACGATGAGGTGGGCGTTTAGTCTCGTAACGATGTAACATCGAGCAAGCTGCTATTATCGCAGTCGTATTGTATAAAACATTGAAACCTCGAGCGATTACTACTGAATTAACTCGTCCATAAAGCGGGCACATCGCAATGATTAATTAAATATAGTAGTAACAAGTTTGATAAATAGGTTCGCAGACTCTAATACGAGATTGGAAGGAAGGACGGATAATTCTATTAAAATGTAAACATGCGCATACCCACTAACGCACCAAACTACTCGTGCTTCGTTGGGCTGATTATAAAGTCATTGCATTGTAATTTTAACGTGAGTAGGCCCTACGCGAGCGGCGCGACTAGCGAGTGGGTAGTTGTGACTACATAGTTGTATAGACAGCAACCCCGGCTGCATCAGATATACTAACACAGACATACAGAGCATTATATCTATTAGAAAATTAATGTTAATAGCAAGGATTACCTACGAATGAGATACGGTGTTCCTGACGTGTTCCTGACGGCTAAGCATTTTTTTGTATGACCTTCGTCATGTATATAGATGCAGCCATATAATGAACACGAGTGTAAATTACGGGATCCTCTAATCAATGTTTTTCTCCTGTCTGAAAAGGAGTTATCGTAAATACACTATAAAACTGTAACACACGCACGCACACACAAAGAGAGAGAGAGGGGCAAGGAACACACGCACACACACACACACACACACACACACACACACACACACACACACAAACACACGCACTCACGCACGCACGCACGCACGCACGCACGCACGCACGCACGCACGCACACACGCGCACACACACGTACGTCGTCCACACGATCACGCCACCGCCCGCCCGATCCTCTCCACACGCATGCACGCATGTAAGCAGCTAATGACGAACATTTCACCTCAGATTCTATCTTAAAAGCGCCAGCCGACCCTTAGTGCTATCAACAGAGCGCATGATGTCTGATGAAAGCAAGTATAGAGCTAATGCTGCCTCTGCTTCCCATATCCCCGAGGAGAAACCCCGTCGTCGTGCGCGTGCACTTATTGCTATGCTTTCTGGAGAAAAAAAAACCGGAATCCATTCTTAGATGGAGCGGCATATATCAACCGAAGATGTGCGAGCAAATAACGAACTGCATGTTTACGTGCGCCTAGAGCACACTGGGGGAGGCATTCAATGATGATTATTGCGAGACACGGAAAATCGTAGATCGCGTTTTTCTCTTAAATTAAAAATTAACGTGAAACCTATAAAGTGCGACGACAATTATGTGTCGTTAGCATTTCCAATAAACGCCGGAGAGACGGAGAAGTGCATAATGTGTTTAGTAGTTAAGTAATAGTAAATGAGTTACGTTATGTATACTGTTCCATTTTCTGTATGTGTGTGTGCGTGCGATGCGTGTGTGTCTATGTGCTATGCGTATGCGTCCGAGGGTGCATGAGAGCATATGTCCGTGCGCGCGCGTGTGCGTGTGTGTGCGGGGGTGAATACAACCTTGAGTTATACACACACGCGCGCACGCACGCACTCCCAGACACACACACACACAAACACACCCCCCCCCAACACACACGCACACACACACACCCACACACACACACACACACACCACACACACACACACACACACACACACACACACACACACACACACAACCAACAACCACGACACACACACACACACACACACACCACACGACACAACCGACACACACACACACACACAC